TTGGTGTTAATATAATATATAGTATAGTATAATTTTTCAAGTAACATACATATGTATATACAGAGATTTATAAAAATTGGTGACCCCTCCAATTTAGAGGCCCTAGGCGACTGCCTTACCCGCCTACTATTAAGGGTGCATATACTAAAGGCCTACAAGATTCCAAGATACAATCCCAAATATACATGCTCAAGTTGTGTTATGAGCACATATGTTCAAAGTCGGATGTATGCCTCCAAGACATAGAACTTCTCCAAAAATAATAGTAGAAAATACATAATACATATGAAAGTAGTAGAAGAGATGTAGAGAGAATCGAATTCTAGTTGTGTTTCAAATGTGAAGGAAGAATAGCCTTTTACAGACATCCAATCCCATTAAACATAAAATTATAGTATTGAATATAAAAATACAATCTAAAAATTAAGATATTATAACCCCACAATAAATAAAGAGGAATTTCGTCAAAAAAATTAATTTTTAATTCAAGTTTGAAAACAATAAAATTTTGAAATTTTTTTAAAAACCAAGTCCCCTTCAAGTTTTTCAAAATTTTCAATAACAAAAGTTAGTCTAAATATACATATGGGTAACATAGTACTACGCAATAGGTATAGGTTCCTTCCGGACTTAAACCTCCCCTTAGGGATTATAGTATTCATTTGAGGAACCTGAGTGTACAAAGCATTGGACTCGGCACTTTGACCAAAAGTTAACATATCCCACACATAATAATTGGTTGAGACTTGGATAAGCGAGATAACACTATTTATAGCCTTGCTATGATCTTGATTCTCATTTGAGTTACTAGGGAACAACCCAAAAATTTATGTGGTCGTAGACAGATAGGGAAGACATGGAATAATACTCATTTCTTGTAGTGTAGCGTTATGAGCTGACAAAAAGACTTCTTCTTTAATCTTACAAAAAAATTCAAAGCAACTGATCTATCCTACGACGGAAATATCAAGCTCTACCAATTAATATATGCTAAATGTAAATCTCGTGTTTGCTTGTGGGGTATATAGCTCAGGTTGTTGAGCTCTTCCACCTCCACCCATATGGGTAGAGGTTCGAATCCCAGACACCCAAGGAATATTTGCGTAAACCCCTTTTCCCCATTCGCTTGTTGAAAAAAAGAAAATAAATAAAAATATCATGTTATAGATGCCACCAAGAGAAAACAGTTCAAACATGCGTATTTGTACTGATATAATATACAACAAAAAATAGAAAAATACTGCGTTATTGGACTTGTTCGAATGTTACATGTTGTTGGGATTACATGAGATTTAGACCTAGCAAAAGGTTGTAGTTTGGTATTTTATCAGTTCAAAAGATTCATAAGAGAATGAGCCCGATATATAGCACCAACAACCAAATTTCCGATGCATAGAACATTTCACATGAAGTGTTCATAATCGAGAATGCTAAATTTACCACATTCGTATCGCTGACTACTTTTCTCACAAAAGTGAGATTTACTTGCATAAAATCTTACATCTCTTGCTCAAATACATTTATTCTTTTACCTTAAGATGTCTGAGAATGAGCAAGTAAATGTAGTTTAATGTTTGCATATGGTGACCTAAAAAAGAAAACAGAAACTTGATTCAACTATTCAAAAAGATTGGCAACACGTTGAACTCTTTTGAAATTGATTAAATAATGTTATTCTTTATTACATCATGTTCACAATATGGCAAGAGTAGTATAATAAATATATTTACGTAAAAGAATGGGCATCCCTATTTAATTAGTGTTTTAAGCTCCATTTCTTGGTGTGTCCCCTTCTTGACTATATGTTGTGCTTCTGAAGACTCATTTAAATTTACGACCACCACCTCTGCACTCCATCCCCTTCTCACAACCTCTGTTGTAAGAGTTGGATGGTGGAGACATGCACCGTCACTCCCTGCAACACTACTACAAAAAAGGAAAACCACGACGGGAATTCACC